AACGCAGCTTACTTCTCAGGCATTTCAAAGCTGTGTTTTTCCCCTGCTGTATCACCTGTATCACCTGCTGTATTATAAATCTTGAACTGTTTTTAAAAGCTCTGTTTAGGTCAGGGATTGTCAGCCTGCTGCCAGCGAATGCCTTCATTGACACCTGTGGGAGAGGGAGGCATGGATGCATGTGGTCTGTGGGAGAGGGAGAGATGGAGTCGCATGGTTTGTGTATGTTTGATCTGTGTAAGAGAGTGGGAGATGCTCTTTGGCAGAGGAAGGGGGAGAGATGTACATGTGAAGTGAGAAGTAAGAGAGATGCAAGTGTGTCTGTGATCACTAGGTATGTGGTGAGTGTGTGCACATGCCTCCCATGGTGGCCGTATTCTCATATCTCATATTATCTCAAAACTCAAAATTTGCCGCTGCTCCAAACAGTTTTAGGTATAAAAAGTGGCATGCAATGAAGTTTTACTCAGAGTAGGCATGGTAAAATTAATGGATCTTAGTCATGCTCATCAATTTCAATGGTCTTACTCTGAGTACAGCTTAGATGAATTCCAACCAAAGCATTTTTATGGTACTAGCTAACACAACTGTTGTTGACAGGTTTTCTTTTATGTTGGTGCTATGTTATAATCTGCTCCCATGTCTGAAAAAACTTTTAGCCTTTTATATTTGTAATGTTTTATTGAATTCCTTATGCATTTCACATTTTGCACTTCATTACTGTAAATTGCTTCGAGATGGGATATATAAATATAATATTCTAACTAAACTGAAATAAGTAAGGACATTTATGTCTCAAGACATCCGCACATATATATTGAATTGACTGGTTATGTACTTTAAGAGTACTCAATCTTTATAAACACTTGCAGGGTTTTGTGACTAAGAGCTGCATTCTTCTAAGGCAGTAGAACAGGACAAAATTTCAAAGGCTTCCCCCTGAAAATTTGTTCTCTTGATGCAGAAAGAAACTGTATGCTGCCTCCACTAACAGGGTCCTTAAGACTCTTCCATCACAATCTGAAGGGCTAACAGGAGCCCAGCTATGTATTCATATCCCCTAAACAATGAACCGAGCATAAAGCAATTTAAGCCACTGCTCAATACGTGAGTAGCCAATGATCTGCTGAAACGGAAGACGCATTTCCATTTCAATATAGTGTGAATCAATGAACTGGTTCACCACACTTCAAAACACGCACCACCATTCCTCTCAAAGCATCTGCGGTGCATTTTGTCATGGACTCGTGGCTCTGTTTTGGCACACCAGGTAGCCCGGTGCAGGACTTGGGACTGGCAGCTCCTTCTGTTAGCTTGCAGGGAAGTGATAAAAGACAAGGAGGTAGAACCTTGGCTTAGCTCTATACATAAACGGAACACGAACACAAAACCAGAGAACAGAGTACCGGTATCTCAAAGCCCTTTTATCCAACACTCTGCTGGAAGGGATATAAAAATAAATAACGTTGAAAAACTGCACGTCTTTGAACTTCTTTAGCCAACAGACCTTACAGGCCTCCTACAGTGCTGCAATAAAGATGCTTCAAGAAACCAGTGTAACACTTGACAAAATTTTATAATGCCACAATCACTTTTTGTTATGCAAGGCCCCTGAGATCGCTGAACGCTATGCAAGACATCGTACATTAATGGAGCTTCTCCATCCCCACCCCCACCCCAATATATGCAAGCACAGCACCCCTGCTCCGGTTCTTTTCTGGCACCTGTAGAAATGCGAAGGAGTCCAAGTGAAAAGCATCATATTCAGCACAGCCCAGACACTCAACATCCTAGCTTCATGCCATGCCCCTTCTTATTTAAAAAGGAAAAAGAAGAAAAGAGCTTATGATGATTAATGAACCATAGCTGGGTGGATGGATCTTCCTTTCATGTACATTCAAGATCTGTATTCATGTATCTCTGCTTCTTTGAAAAATAAGCATAGCAAAGGCACCAGCATGCTGAGCAGTGCTGTCACAGCTTATTGGTACTGGCAGCATCTGACAGCCAGCATCGCCCCCATCTCGAATCTGTCTGGTTGGAGAGTCAGTTGGAACCAACTTGGTTTTGAGGTCGCTTCTCCCTTGGAGGCGAGGAAGAGCATTGCACGTGAAACTGCGTGCTGTTCAGAACCTTTCTGACCTGGTCATTGAAGTAGCCTTTCTTTCATTCCAAACATGTCAGACCCACCAAATTCAGTGCCAATTAGTTTGGCACGAGAAAACACCCAACTCTTATCTGACATTTTCATCTGATCCTAGGAAGGCAACCAAAGCAGTGAACTGCTGTTTGGTGGCTGCGAAGGACAGGATGGGGCAGAACAAGCTGTTGGGTGGACTGACTGATTTCGGTTTGTTGTACAAAATGTTCTGGATTTCACCCCTCCTGAAAATTCAGGTTCATAGCTTGGGGGTACTCCTTGACGTGGTGCTCTTATCAGATGTGCAGGTAGCTAGTGTGGTGAGGACATGCACCCCAATTTAGTTGGCTTACCTACTAGTTGGTTCACCTACTATGATGAAGTCTAACATAAGGACATAAGGAAAGCCTACTGGATCAGGCCAGTTGTTCATCTGGTCCAGCATCCTGTTCTCACAGCGGTCAACCAGATGACTGAGGGGGGGACACAACCCACAAGCAGGATTCAAGCAGAAGAGCACTATTGTGGTTTCCAGCAACTGGTATTCAGAAGCATTGCTGTCTCCAACTGCAGAGGCAGATCACAGCCATCATGGTTAGCAGCCATCAATAGTCTTCTGCCACTTTGCTTCCAGACCCAGTTCAAGGTGTTGATGTTAACCACTTAATGATGTTAACACACTTAATGTGTTAAGCACTTAATGGCTGGGAACAGAATATCTTGGGTTCCACCTTCTTCCACATAAGCCTCCCCACATGCCATCTGAGGTCTGGATTACACATCCCTCAGCTCTGTGAGGCCTGCTTGATAGTGACCATATCTAGGGTCTTTTCTATACTGGTGCCCACTTTGTGGGATGCTTTGCCAATAAGCTGCAAATCTCCCTCACACTTTTAGATGACTGCTTAAAGAGGCCTTAGGCTGAATATTTCCTCTTTCTGGTATTTTGATGTTTTAATTCTTATGGCTGTTTTGCAATTGTTATTGTGCCAGTCTTGGTGTTTTGCAAATATTTTGATTTGGCTGAATTGTGGATTGCTTTATATTGTGGTTTCTGACAGGATATGCGCACACACACACACACACACACACACTCACACATATAGAAACAAATAAGCTCATAAATCTTCCCAGAAAAAAGTATTCTGAGAAGTATTTTTTTACTAAATAACATGAGTTGTTTATATGTTGTGTGAAGCCCTTTGGGGGAGCTGGGTTCTACATTTAGTACGCATAGAGGAAGACAGTGGTGAGGTGGTACAAAATTTTCTCTGAAATTACATTACCTTCTCTTTCCCCACCCCACCCCTTTTCCTTTTGAATGATTCTTTAAAATCTGTCTCTGGTAATGAGATCAATTTGCCTCACCTGTCAGATCTGTCCTGCGAAGGGGTGACAGAAACAGCACATCTCTATTCCATTCCAAGGGAAAGCATTTCAGATGTGAATAATGAAAACATAGAAGGTATATATGCCATTATGCACACCATAGCAAAATCAGATTGCTTCCTGCAGAAGGCACTGTCAGGTTTTATTGCAAACAGTGCATATATTACCAGCTGGTGGGAAAATGGCCCTCAGACTTCCCTGTTGGATAAAATATTAACCTGCTCAATGTTAGGTTGTTGCACTTGCAAAATCAGCTGAGCATTTGGTAGATTTTTTTTGCCTCTCAGTTCTAGAAATCTGGTCTGCCTCAGTGGCCCTTCTACAAACTGTTTTCTTTAATTCTTTTGGTCTGCTGTGTCCATCCAAATAACACACCTGTAAAGAATACAGAAAGGTGGCCAGCAATACATATTCTACTTCCTGACAAACTATATTTATGTTACTTCCTTTCTGGATATTATTCTTTCTTAATACTGTCTCTCTTCATCTTGTTTTTGACAGGGGGAAAACTGACTTGCTAAGCCAAACCCACCCAACTCTAACCATGGCAGAGAATCACCATCAGCTTTTATGCTGGTGTGGATTTCCATGGTGTGGTTATAAGCAGCCTGAACAGTAGCGCGCCATAGTTGTGTAAGCAGAAACTGATGATTCCCCTTACTCAAACAGCATTAAGGATATTGTTAGGAGAATCTGATTATTCAGACTGTATTAAGAATATGACAAGAATGTATGTACGGAGAAAACTTAGCCATGAGTTAGCTTGATAGATGGTAGGCACTCTGCTCTTCTGGCTGAGAGCCAGTGTGGTGTAGTGGTTAAGAGCGGTAGACTCGTAATCTGGTGAACCAGGTTCGTGTCTCCGCTCCTCCACATGCAGCTGCTGGGTGACCTTGGGCTAGTCACACTTCTCTGAAGTCTCTCAGCCCCACTCACCTCACAGAGTGTTTGTTGTGGGGGAGGAAGGGAAAGGAGATTGTTAGCCGCTTTGAGACTCCTTCGGGTAGTGATAAAGCGGGATATCAAATCCAAACTCTTCTCTTCTTCTTCTCCTGAATCAAGCACCCAGCTCTGATACTGCAGGCATGCTTTCCCTCTGAGAACATGACTTCATTTCTCTGCATGCGTAAAGCTAATTTGGAGGTAATTTATAGGCCTGTGGACTCCACTTTTGTGAGTTCTCCAGCAGCCACTGTTCGACCAAGTAAAGTCACTTCAAACATCACAGTGGTATGCTTATTGAGGAAATCCACTACAGCTGCATGAATTGTACTAACAGCTTATAAATCTCTGGGTTAAAATACCAACCAATTATGAGCAAAGCATATGTGTCAAAAGTACCACCAGCCATGCCCAAATGAATTCTCTTGATTATTCTCATGGATGGGTTGGATTGTGATTCTTTTCAGGAACAAAACCACCAGTGTGTGCAACCCTCATTGAGGACTTGGCAGAAGCTGAAAACAGGACTGGATAGCTCAGTTGATTAGAGTGTGGTGCTGATAACGCCATGGTTGCAGGTTCGATCCCTTCTATAATTCTATGACTACACAGCTAATGAAACATAAAACACTACATTTAATCTGAAGTGGAGATGGAATTGTGCCGATATCCTCAACCTAGGAAGCTGTCTTCTACCCAGTCAGACCATATGTCCCTCTAGGCCAGGATTCTTCACCCTGACTGGCAGTGTCTCTCTACATTTCCAGACAGGAGTATTTCCCAGCCCTACCTAAAGATGCCAGAGATTTAACCTGAGTCCATCTGCATTCAAAGCATGTGCTCTCCCACTCCACTCCAGCCCTTCTCCACCACAGGCTTCCTGTTGCAGTTTCAAAACACGCAGAGTACAACCCTCGCATCAAATAATGCCTCCAACCACCTTGAATTTTGTAATGTTCGAAGTGTTGCAGATCTGACTTTTGACAACAACGCTACTCGGCTAGAGGCTCTTGTTTTCCAGAGAGTGCCTTTCAGCGTTAATGCTGCTGGCTGAGTTGACCTTAAAATTAGAAGCGCATAGAACACTCAAGTCCCAGGCCGCTGTTTTGCAGTGTTTTTATGCTAATAACACCTGAAAGTTAGTGCTCCCTGTGCCGAAGTAAATAAATGAGGTCCAGAGTGCTGCTTGCCTACAAGCTCTGCGTTGTTCTCAATCAGATAATATACAGCTCAGCCTTTCATAGCAAAGCAGCTGTGACAGTTTGCATCCTAACCAGGAACCACAGCACCCTCTCTGAAAGAAAGCAGACTGGCTGCAGGCAGGGAAATGAAGTTATGTTAGGGTGGCCATGTGCCCTCCTTTACAGAAGAGCATCCTCTTCTGTAAGGAGCAGAGGGACAGTCCTCTATTTTGATGTGTTCTTCATTTGAGGGGCTGCAACTTAAGAGCATCTGCCTTGCACACAGAAGGTCTCAAGTTCCATCCCTGACATCTCCAACAGGGGTAGGAAAAAGTCCTGCCTGAAACCCTTGAGAGTCACTGTCCGTCAAAGTAGACCAGGGTTTTCCAAACTTAGGTCTCCAGCTGTTTTTGGACTACAATTCCCATCATCCCTGGCCATTTGGTCCTGCTAGCTAGGGATGATGGGAGCTGTAGTGCAAAAACAGCCAGAGAGACACACACCCCCAAGTTTGGGAAACCCTGGTGTAGACAATACTGAGCTAGAGGAACCAATACCCTGGCTCAGTATAAGGCTGCTTCCTGTGTTTCCGTGTTGACAGGCTGCCCAGTGTCTTGGTGGCAACAGTGGAGCACCTCAGGCTAAATGTGGCCCTGTAAGCTTCTCTGTGCCAACCTAGCAGTTCGAAAGCACGTCAAAGTGCAAGTAGATAAATAGGTACTTCTCCGGTGGGAAGGTAAACGGCGTTTCTATGCGCTGCTCTGGTTTGCCAGAAGCAGCTTAGTCATGCTGGCCACATGACCTGGAAGCTGTACACCGGCTCCCTCGGCCAATAAAGCGAGATGAGCGCTGCAACCCCAGAGTCGGCCACGACTGGATCTAATGGTCAGGGGTCCCTTTACCTTTACCTAAGCTTCTCTGTCTAGCCCTCAGTGCTCTCCCCCTGCCACACGTCTTCACCAGGCCACACTCCTCATCAGTCCTGCTTTGTACCTTCCTCCAAGTGCTTTAGCTTGGCTGGAATGTGTCCTTGAATTATAATAATGTTGCTTGCTTGACTGGGTGGAGGGAAGGATGGGGGGACGGACCTCTGACTTGTTCACATCTGCATGAATGTACAAGAGGTGATAATTACATCCTTTGCTCTGCCTGCTTTTCACCACCGGCTCTGCCCACCTCTGACATGTGCTGCTCATGAAGGCATGAGGCCCTCAGATTGTCCTCAGATTGCTGTAGGTGGCGGCCATTTCCTCAATTACATTACATTCCTCGATTACATTAAACTAACTTATTTGGCCAAAACAAATATGGCGGCCAGATGGAGCCAGTTGTGTGTTTTTATTTCCTTTTTAAACCTGCAAACCTGCTGATGCCAAGCCTGTACGCTGCCTTTATTTTGAAACATATCCATGCTGGGAGGACCCCATTAGTTACTTCCCTGCTGGATCTGCAAAGCCTGAGCTAAAATAAGTAGCAATCCTTCTCTCCTCAGGTTGTGGAAGCAAACTTGACTCATACCTTCAGATAAATAGACAGATAGAGGAAATAACTGGAATAAAGCTCAAATCCATGTGTGTGGAGAAGCTCATACTGATAACATTTGTGCTCGCCCGGACTAACTAATCCACACACATTTCTCTCCAATACTGAGGGTGTATAGCTTTCGGTGTCTGAGAGAGATGTGCATTAGAAAATAAGAGTAACATTGACATCTTGTGGAATAGGTAAATTACTGCAGGGATGACCATTTGGAGAGAAGTGGGGAAGAAACTTTTGAAAACAGGTGTTGTGAAATGCCAACCACCATCCACGTGATATAATGACCAAAGGCAAACAGGAAGTAAAAGACTCCAATAAATAGACTGAATAATTGGGGAGTGGGAGTGAATGGCATTGGAGAGTATTTCATGGTACCTATGGTCTTTTCTTGCACAGGAGTCATAAATTTATTGCTACAGGGATCTCTCCCACTTCTGAACCATATCTAAGCCAAGCTGCCAAGGCTCCCTGAAGTGTAATAAGACCCACATCCATCAACTTTGACTTTCTGTTTATATATGTAAGTCAGAATTGTTTCATCTGTAACACCGAATTTATGTTTGCTAAAATGTTGGTTCTTGTCTTCTTTTAATTTATTGATTTGTTTTGCGAACTGCTTTCTCCTGCTGGCTCCCCTCCAACCTAAACTCCTTAGTGTAATAAGTGTGTGCTTGTTGTAAACTGCTTTGGGCATGGATCGTTGTAGAAAGGCGGCATAGAAATTGACTCGATCAGTCTCTGGATCTCCTAGCAATAAGCTTAGGTTATGATGGACAACAGGCACAGAGGGCTCTATTGCAAACACATACTCTCATTTGATGCTTGTGCATCCAAGCTCGAGTTCTGAGGCTATATACAAAATGGCTGGCCCTCCTGAAGGAAGACTTCAATCGGTTAGACGTTTCGAGAAAGAACACATTAGACACTGTTTCATGTCTTCCCCTATCCAACATTGGTCCCATTTTGCTCTCTAGCTTAACATTCTGACAAAACCTGCTATCTTATCAGTCCTTCTGGATCCAGCTATTCCCTCGCCGCTCAAGGCAAAGGGAAGCCATCCCTTACTGACAGTGACAAGGACAAAACAAAACAAAACAAAACAAAAAGGATCTTAAAGGGCTCTCTTTCATTTGTGCCTGAAGAGCACTTGCTGCAAAGCTTCCGTAGAACAAAACACCTTCTTCGGAGATACCAAGAACTGGATAACTCCAGCTACTGTATTTATATTTACAAAAATAGCTTTAAAAAAAAGTAAACATAAATTAAAATAAAGGCAATGCTGCCCTCTTCAGGAAAAACATCAAACTCCACTGCGGGCTAGTTTAATCCTCCTGTTTCTCCCAACTTTCCAAAGGTCTTCAAGTCCATTTTGTAGTCAACATTTTCCTCCAGGCTTCAACAAATGCTTCAATGTAGTAAGGTGCTCATGGTGCACACAAGACGAAGTGATGGAATTTGCTTCCACAAGACATGGGGGGCGGCCACGAGTTTAAATGGCTCAAACAAACTATTAATAAAATTCATGGAGGGAAAGTCTATCCACAACTACTACTAATGATAGCTGCAGGCAACCTGCAGGCAGAGTACAAGTATGCCTCCAAATCATCCTTTTGTCGGGGAGCAATAATGAGAGGTTATTGTGTTCATTCCCTGCTTGGGTGCTTCCCAGAGACGTTGGGCAGTATGAAAAATAGGATGCTGTATTAGATGGATCACTGTTCATATCTAGCTTTATTTATGTTATTGTATTCTGTTGTTGTTGTTGTATTACCCACTATATTCCAATGCCATTCCAGAAAAGATTTTATACCTCTTGTCAGGCACTGGTCTTAGGGTAACTCACAAGGTCTCTCTTTTTGCCCTAGCTTCAATGGAAATCCAGGAAAGAGCTATTAATGAGATTGCAGTTGGCTGCTTTCGGGGTGCTCTTATTTAACCATAATATTTTTAAATAACTAATGTTTTTATCTGTATTAAACTTCACCCTTACAGTATGTAAGGTTTATATATAAGGTAAAGGGACAGGGACCCCTGACCATTAGGTCCAGTCGGGGCCGACTCTGGGGTTGCGGCACTCATCTTGCTTTACTGGCCAAGGGAGCCAGTGTACAGCTTCCGGGTCATGGGGCCAGCATGACTAAGCCACTTCTGGCGAACCAGAGCAGCACACGGAAATGCCGTTTACCTTCCCGCCGGAGCGGTACCTATTTATCTACTTGCATTTTGACTTGCTTTCGAACTGCTAGGTTGGCAGGAAAGGTTTATATATGTTACATGTGATTTACGTAGTATCGTTATGAAGTAGGTTTTTATATGGTTCTAGGTGGCAATGTGATTTTGTGCAGTATTTCATACTGTTGGTTCTTGTATTGTACCTATTTATCTGATATGTGAATGGCCCATGGCCCAAGCATTAATAAACTACTACTATTGCTACATTGCCCACCATTCACCCTGGGGTCCGTGGGAGAGTTGGAACGTTAAAACACAATTATTAAAACAACTTAAAACAACTTACAACCACAGAAATAAGGTGAGACCTGAAAATATATACCCCTTAAGTGTCAAAAACATCTTCAGTATTCACCAGAAGCTGTACAGTGATGGTGCCAGATGAGCCACTGTGGGGAAGGAGTGCCACAACTTAGGGGCTGCCACAAAGAAGGCCCTCTACACACACACACACACACACACACACACACACACACACACACACGGTCTCTGAGTGCAGAGGAGCTACCAACAAGGTCCACTCTGCCAATCTTAGCACCCAAGAGGGTCTGTAGGGAAAGTGGCAGTCTTTCAGGTATTTGGGGTCTGAGTTGTTTAGTGCCTTGAATTGGGCCTCGAAATTAACTGGGAGCCAGTGCAGCCGGGAGATCGAGAGGGAACCCCAGCTAGTAATCTGACTGCTTTATTTTGAACCCACTGATGTTTCTGTGTTGGCTTCAAGGTAAAGCATAGAGCGCAGTACAGTAATGCAATCTGGAAGTTACTAGAGAATGGAGTATCTTGGCCGAGTTGTCTCTGCCCGACAGAGCTGTCTCTTAGCAAACTAGGCAGAGCTGAAAAAACACGCTCCTAGTCAGCAAGGGTGACAGTGTTGAATCCAGGAGCATCCCCAAGTTCTGATTCTGCTCCTTCCAGGGGAGCGCAACCCCTTTCCAAGGTCAGCCGCCTTCCCACCTCCCATATGTGAGAACTCGGAGCATGTAGCACCTCTGTCTGTTTGAACTAAGCATGGCTGCACTGTTGGCTAGATGGGTCCCTTACTGGCCTTTCAGCCTTGACGAATGTGGCACCTTGTTCAATACCCCAGGCACCTTTCTGTGTGGCACATGTACCTGTTAAAGGAATAAAGAAGACGAATCTGATCTCATGTGGTGTGTTCCCCAGCTTCACACTCCTATTCAGGAAATTGGGCAGGTGGTCCACAGACAGAGTCAGGTTCAGAGCTGGAGCAGAGCCAGTTACAGTGGCAAAATCAACTTTGGAGCTGGCAGCATTATAACCTGAAGGGATGGTAGCTCAAAACATGCATAGCAAACAAAGACAAAGGGAGTTCACAACCTCCTTACAGATTTCCACTTGTATTTTACGTCTTGTGAAAATTTCGTCGAGCACTACCTGACCCTGCCATTCCTTTGTAAACTTCAATACCACATTAGCTGTCACTTTCCCCACTTCCCATTTGTCACTAAGAAAAAGAGGGAAAGAAGCAATGGTCACCTGAAGAAAATGTCCCCAAATGCTAAAGTACTGCAAACCTACCATGCTGTTCATTTTAGATGAGGAAGACCCCGTTCTCTGCTTTCTCAAGCTGTTCATTTCTTCTGGGTTTCCATCCTTTGGTTTCAAGATCATCCGGCTGCTCCCAGCAGTGCCTTCTGAAGAGGATCTCAGGCGTTTTTCTATGAATCTTCCTTCTCGGTATGGGCTAAAACTACTAGCAAGATTCACTGTGGGATGAAGGGGGGAGGGGAGAGATGCAGTCAGCACACATGCCACAAAAGCTATTGAACATTTCTTTAACTCAAAACCATGTTACTCTGAAGTTAGCTGTGGAAGGTTGAATCTTGACTGAGGCCCACAGCACTGCATTCAGACAAGAAATGTACAGGAATACATGCTGAAGGATTGGGTGAATTGGCCAATTATATAATTCACTTCCTGAGAAGGCAACAAGAAGCAAGAGGGGTTGTACTGGTCCCAGGGTTTGGTCTGACGGCACGTGAGGCTGCCATCTTGTTGAAGCTAATCAGGTCTGGGTCTTGCCAGTTCCTGGATGGGTGACCCCTAGAAACACCCATGTATGCCTCCTTGGGTTCCATGATGGAAGATAATCAGACGAAAGTCCATGGTTCAGTGGGAACAGCCGTAGCTCAGTGGTAATGCATCTACTTCTTGTGCAGAAGGTTCCAGGTTCAATCCCCAGCTTCCCTGGTCTCTAACCCTGGATAGCTACTGCCATTCAGCTAGTGGATAAGGCAACTTCCTCTGTTTCTCTCTAAGTGATGTATAAATGTAAGTGTCAGGGAACTGCCATCAGTGCCGGAGGGAGAGAGCAAAAGCCAGAGGGACTCCAGAGAGCGTCCAGGGATTGGGAGAAGCAGCCCATCTTCTAGGGAAGAGAATCAGCGTAGCACCAGTGGAGAAGGGGGGCAGATGGGGGAAGCGGCGAGGCGGTCCCATGACTCCTTGCCTGGGACCAGCGGGGAGAGTAGGGGTCCTCCGTTGCCCACGCCCTCCTTGCGCAGAAGGCTTTCGCGCAGAGAGAGTAGGAGGAGACTAGGCGTCAAAGAGCTTCTTTGCTGGAAGAAGTTTAAGAAACGCCCACTGACGGAGTCTGCCAGCGACTGAGTCGGCCACGGGTGAGTGGCTGTCCGGACAGAAAAGGTTCACTTAGGCAACCCAGCCAGGTAGATAAGCACCGGCTTATGCACGAGCAACCCCTAGAACCATTACAGTAAGAAAATAAAGTATTGCAAAAACCTTTCCCTCCCCGCAGTGAATTTTGTAAAATGCTAGTAAATCAAGCGAATGCTTCTATAAATTCTACACATTAATATTCATAAAATATGCCTGTATCTTGACAGGAACTAGTGACAAAATGGACTCCAGTGATAATCAGGAGAAAGGGGTAATGCAAACTCAGAGCATCTTACAGACAGAGAAGGAAGAAATGTGCAGTGCAGAAAATGTCCACTCTGGTGAAAGCCATAGGAATAGTAATTTACTTCCCCTCCCATGCTCCTCCTAAGTATTTTGTCTTATTTTGAATGTGCACCCTTTCACACGAGATCAAAGGTGGGGAACCAGCGACCTTCCAGATGGTGCTGGTCTACAATTCCCAGCAGCCTCCTCAACCATTTGCCATGCTGGCTTGGGCTGGCAAGAGCTGGAGTCCAACAGCACCTGGAAGGCTACAGGTTCTCCACCCCAGCACTGCACAATAATTTTGTCCATCTGGGCCCTGGGCTGCAAATCAGCCTTTCTATAATATTGATCCACTACTCAGTGCCATTTCAAAAGTGCAGCATGCCAAGTCTTCCAGGGCCATAATAGGTGGTAAAGGTAAAGGGACCCCTGACCATTAGGTCCAGTCATGACAGCCTCTGGGGTTGTGGCGCTCATCTCACTTTATTGGCCAAGGGAGCCGGCGTACATGTGGCCAGCATAACTAAGCCGCTTCTGGCGAACCAGAGCAGCACACGGAAACGCCGTTTACCTTCCCGCTGGAGTGGTACCTATTTATCTGCTTGCACTTTGACGTGCTTTCGAACTGCTAGGTTGGCAGGAGCTGGGACCGAGCAACGGGAGCTCACCCCATCACGGGGATTTGAACCGCCAACATTCTGATCGGCAAGTCCTAGGCTCTGTGGTTTAACCCACAGCCTATAGGTGGAAATTACCATAATTCCTTCATTTGACATTTCTCTAGGAACTTTAGCCCACAGACACCAAAAGCCTAGACGACAGCCCCTAGCTGAATGCCATTTAAATATACTTCAAAACTTCCACCCAGTTATATAGGAGACAACAGAAAAGTTATTATTTGTACCTTTTATTTCATATGCTTGCTGGGCTTGAAAAGGCTGCGGTTCTGAAGACAAAGGAATAATCTTCGACTCAATTACTGGGATGGTTTCTCTAATATGTTCCAGTGCTTTAACTTCTTGTTGGTCTCTAGGTAGTCCCTGTGCTTTGGGGGAACATTCAGTTACTTCCCCCTGGTTTAAGACAAAGGGTTTTAATTGTGCTTCAGCTCCTGAGTTTGCTTCTTCGGGATGGCTGGTCTGTTTAGCAGGAAGCTCTTGCAATAATACTTTTGCATGGTTTCGATTAGAATCGAGGGTTTCAAATATGGCACTATTTTCACTGAGCAGTCCACTTCTGGCCCTGTGACTTCTGGGCGATAGAACAGCACAATGAGGAACACTTTCTGCATGATCCATCTTCCTTAAAAGAACAGGAGGAGGAAGAGGAGGAGCAGTGGCAGCAACAGCAGCAGTAATGGGATTGTGGAAGATTTGAGAGGTAGAAACATTGTGGGCAAAGGCTTCCCCGTGCAAATTCCCGCAGTTGGGCAGTCCGTCGACCTCCGAGACGGAATCTTCTGTCAGTGCTAGAAACTCGGAAGGCGTCTGGACCGTGGTCAGGTCAGCAGAGAGCAGCGGCGACTGCAAAGAACTGCCTGCACATTCTATTATGTCAGCAGAACACGGGGAGGAAGACTTCACCGAAACAGGCTCACTTTCAACACTGGGCTTAATGTCCAACAAGCAAGAAGATGGCTGCACGCAGGAAATGGACTGGCTTTGAGGGACTGGCTTAGAAAACCTGTAGTGTGTCGAGAAGGATTTGGGGAGAAGTTTCCTTGAGGAATGTTTAACGGAGGCCCTGCTTTGGTCCTCTGCAAAGCCAGAGTCGTCCCCTTCATTCTTCCCAGATCTTATGCAATTTATGAAGACGTTTTTATTGGTTGAGGGCTCCCTCCCCTTCTCAAAGTCCTCCGTCAAAGACCTGGTGATCTTCTTGCTCCGAGAACTGCCAAAGCCGACCGAATGCCTCCCTCTGTGCTTCACGTGCTCCTCCAAACCGAGCTTCTGCAAAGTGCCGTGGCCAGACTGAGCACCGTTCGAAATGCCCACGTTCTGCCCTGGAGAATCGGCTTTGGGTTCACTCCCCTTCTTGTGGTGGTGGAAGCTGATGGAAGGCGTGCGGAAGAGGCTCCTGCGCTTGCCGGTGCTACCTGAGCTGGAGTTGGTGCTGGAGGGAGAAGAGCTGTGGACACCAACGGTATTGCTAGAAGTAGGCGAGGATGGGAGGGAATCGTGCCGCCGGCTAATACTTCTCCTGAATATTGGCAGCCGGGACACAATGATCGAACGCCTCGATCCTGAGTCCCCCATCAGGACCTCAATTCCTTGGCCAGGATCAGCCTACGTTAAAATCTGTATGAGTGGAGAAGAGGAGACGTGTTACTATTGCTTTCAGACTCAGGAGAAGACAGCAAAATTCAGATACTGTGGAACCTCAGAAGCTTGAAACTTGTGTGTTTTGGCTCCCAAATGATCAAAAACCAGGAGTGTTCCGGTTTTCGAACAATTTTCAGAAGCTGAATGTATGACGCAGCTTCCGATTGCTTGCAGGAAGCTCCTGCAGCCAATCAGAAGCCGCGCCTTGGTTCTCGAACTGTTCCGGGAGTCGAACAGACTTCCAGAACAGATTGAATTCGAGAACCAAGGGACGACTGTATCCAGATATTACCCCTAAAAAGTATGTCTACAGTTAACGTAGTGTTTCTCAAACTTTGGTCACCAGGTGTTGTTGGACTATAACTCCCATCATCCCTAGCTAGCAGCACCAGTGGTCAGGGACAATGGGGCTTGTAGTCCAACAACAGTAGGCAACCCAAGTTTGAGAAACACTGAGTTAATTTTACATATCAGTCAAAACAAACAAAAAATGAGCAGCTATCCATGGAGAACTGAATAAGCAATGGAGAGACCCCAGCTTTCTGGTTCTGTTGAGCAGCTTTTGCCAACCAGGCTCCCCTCCAGATGCTTTGTGCTGTTTGCCCAGTTGTGTTGGGTGTTGCTGATGGGACTTGTAGTCCAAAACTTCAGCAGGCAGTGCCTGGTTTGCAAAGGCTGTTTTAGAGCCATTTGCACTTTTTCAATGGGTCTATAGAAGACAGAACCCATAAGAGAGTTATTGAGGAAACCAGGCAAACTAGGCTCTATAAAGTTAAATGGTGTGCGTCTCTACCTAAGTACTGTAAGTTCATTTTTCATCCCGCCCCTGAGAGCTGCTCCCCAGCCAGCATTGAATTCTAACAAGTACATCTGAATACAGATTAATCAAACTGATGTTTTGAAAAAGAAAACAATATATGCAACTAGGAAATCTTCCCAATCTTTCTAATAAAGCAATTTATTTTACAAGGGTTTTTTTAAAAATTAAAAATAAAATCTGCTTTTCAACTACTCATTCCAAACATACCACCACAATTTGTCATGATATTAAATCCACCTTCAGATAAGGCTTGCTTTATCCCTTGTACAACAGGGCTTTTGCAGCGCACATTTAAATGAACATTAATTCTTTACATGCTCAAGCTATCTATTTACTCTCTTCGATTGTCTAAACAAACCACAGGTTGATGAGGATGACAGAGCGAAACCACAGGTCAAAGAAAATGACAGAACTATTACCTCAGAATAAATGCCAATGTAAACAAACCCAACGATCTTCAAAGTCAATTCTAAATCTGAGAACTAAAGCCAGAAATAAGCTGTATAACATATTGTCTACCAAGCCACACTTACCGCACTAGTCATGTATGGAGGCCACCAGGGCTCAATAAACTTCCTGTTTTTGATACCTCCCTAGGATTGCAAAACTACAGACATTGTCAAGTGAATGATGGGCCACAGTACATGTCTGGTGGGCTGTCTCGACCGGCTGAATAAAAGCTGTGAAGGCCAGCTTTAAAAACATAATTTATGTTGCACGCCAACACAATCTCCACAGCAGTGAGAGATTTCAGGGTTCCAGGCGCTTACCCAGGGTTCATGTTTCCTTTGGAAATGAGACGCAGAGGAGACTGTGGTGTCTTTATGATATATGGTTTGTTTACACATGTATACAACCTGAGCACAGCACTCCAAGAGGGTCCTGCTTCTCCCATAGGCTCAGTCCTGGGTTCAAGCAGACATCTGACATCTTGCCTGTTGTCCTGCAGCTTGCTTTGTTCTCCCAGTCACACAACTCCTAACTTTGCACTAGGCAGCCACCTAGATTGCTTCTCCATTACAACACCACTTACTGACTGAAAACCTCTTCCTAGAGCACACCGGGCAAACTGCAGTCCTGAAACTCTGCTACTCGCCTTTGCTCTTCTACCTGATTCTGAGCTCATCCATTTCTCAGCTTGCACAGATTCTCTGCTTTGTTAATCACCCATGTCCCTGCCCCCCCTTTTCTTTTTTCTGCTTAACGACTCTGGCCATTATCAGGCTGGCCTGGACATGGGAAGTTGAGCCCAGCTATTAAGGGTCTGACTTCCAGTTTATTTCTCCAAGCATTGATTAAATTTCAGCAGTTGTTAAATCCAGGCACCCACAAACTCTGCAACCCAAAACACATAACAATAATATCCAACCCAAACCGCCACAGCTAAAAAAGTGAAATTGCCTCGATAATCACACATAAGCTTTGGAGTCTGTTTATTTCCCACTGAAGAAATTAACTTTATGTTAGGTCTTTTCATATTCCAATTTCCCATCATTATTTGTCATTTTTATGGTGGTTTTCACTGTGCACAGTGCTTTGCAATTCTCATCTTAAATATCCTCAGTTTAAAAAGCTCCTAAGAGGAGGCTAGAACCAGCGAGACGCTGACATCCCAAGGATCACCCAGGGAGCTTCCCAGCTAAGTAAGGATTTGAATGAGCACGAGACACTAACCAACACCCCAAAAGCGACTCATTTATTTACTGCAAGATTGTACCCCTGACCCCCGGATGAACAACTGCTGATTCGAACGTAATCATTTTTCCACAGCCTTTTTCATTTCACGAATTTCATCTTGTAACTTTTGCTGAAATCAAACTGCAGCATTTCAGCTTCGAAAGAGATGGGTGTTTGCTGTGCATCAGATAATCACTTCATAGATTATTTCTGTGGACCTTACAAAAGCACTGATCTCAGGCGAGGGCAGGCCAGGCTACGGGAGAGTAGAGCTCTGATGGTGCTTCAGTAAGCATAAAACTAAGACTGAACTCTGTACACTCCTGACCGAGAATCGACACGACTCCCTCCCTGCTGGACTCCAGCCACTTGACAAACACTTTCCTGTTTCAGTAGACATTTCAAGGCAGCTTTCTGTTTCTATGATAAATTAAGGGTGCTGAGAGTTATTAGGCGACCCCTGTTCCCCAGAGTGGTTTAACAAACCTCTTCACAGGGAAAAGTAGCTCTGTGAGCTGCTAACAACTTTCAGCACCCACAGCAAGCTACAGTTCCCAGAATTCTTTGGAGGAAGCAACGACTGTTTAAAAATTGGTACCATACTGCTTTATGGTGTGAACATAACAGAAGAGACTTTGCATCAGAGGAAGGGAAGGGAAAGAGAGATGGAGAAACGGAAGGATGCTGATCAAGAGCTTGGGGAGAGTTCTGGATTTAACAGCCAAAACATTAACCTGTGTTTATCCCTATCAAAACTGGTGGGGAACCAGGGACCCTGGAGCAAATACTGGGTCTTCCAATGGTCCTGGCAGGACCTACCAGCATTGCTGCCTGCCCTAGGATACTCAACATAGCCCAGTACAAGCCGCAGTTTTGATTTCTAATGCCCCAAGCGATATTACATTTAGGTACTCTACGATTTTGCTAGACCCCCCAATGCAACCTGGAGTCAGCCTTAATGCGTGAAATAAAGATAGGATATCGAGCTTCATAGACATGCGCTCACATGAGACCACCTAAAATGGAGTCTTGCCTGAGGGATAACCTGAACCAGGGGCTTGCCAGCTCTTATGATATACAGTGGTGCCTCAGGTTACAAACACCTCGGGTTACAAACACTTCGGGTTACAGACTCCGCTAACCCGGAAGGAGTACCTCAGGTTAAGAACTTTGCCCCAGGATGAGAACAGAAATCGCGTGCAAGCGGCGCAGCAGCAGGCAGAGGCTCCATTAGCTAAAGTGGTACCTCAGGTTAAGAATGGTTTCAGGTTAAGAACGGACCACCGGAACAAATTAAGTTCATAACCAGAGGTACCACTGGACTGCATCAGCTCTCCCACTCATGCTACATTCCTGGTTGAAAAAAGCACCCCAAAATGCTTCTTTTTCAGCAAAAAAAAAAAAAAAAAGGCCACATAAGATTTCTTTCTTTCTTTTAACTGCTGACACTGCCGGTTTTAATTCAGCATACGCAAGACACCGTGGATTCCCTCTGGTGGTTTTTTTTTTTGTTTTTTTTTAAGGACATAATTATTTTTACGCATACAGAACCAGAAGTTGGAATCACAGCCCCGAGGGGAAAGAAAACTGCAGCTCCAACCTTCGTCAGGACTTATGAGCGCACCGTGTCATGTTACGTCCTACAGGAACATAACGCTGGGAAGGATGATCCTCAGAGGTCTCTATTCCACTCATAAAATAAGAGGCTGCCTGTGCTGGCAAAGCACTTTACATAGAAGATTTTACTCTTCTAATGAATTGTCCATATGTTGAGACAGAGCTGCACACATTTTATGGAGGATAAACACCATCTATCAGGAACGCAGACAAAAGAAGAGCCAGGAGAGGGAAAACATGCTCTCTCCTTGTAAGTTACAAACATGCACACAAGTGATCTCAGATAACTGTGTTCCCAACTTTTCCACTAAGTTTCTTGAGGGCCAAGCAACATGAGGGCCAAGCACTGTGTTCAGAAATATCATATGCCACCTCCTAACACTGCCTGTACCACAGGAAATGCAGATGCAACACAGCATCAAAATGTCTCTGCCAGTAGAATGCTAGAGTGTCAGGGGAAGAAAAACCTCTAATGCCGCCTCTTCCCTGACACGCTACTTTTCTACATCCAGATAGATTTTTATGTGGGAAACGTTCCAGTATGTGATTCCTTCACTTGTATTTTGAGGTAGTACAATCCAGAAAGAGCAAGACCACACAATACACAGGCCAATGCTGGAGACACTGTTGCTCCCACAGAACATTTTTGAAATAGACTGTTCCATTGCTTTGAAATCCAGAAAGCATGCTTTCATACAGACATTACAAATACTTAATTTGTGTGTGATGTAACGTCTCTTTGACAAATGCAAAGCTTTTTCAATGTTCAAGCTGATCACACTTGCAACACACACACACACGAAAACAAAACCCCAGTACA